TGTACGCAGCTGAGCTGCAGCGCTCAGCTCTTCACCACAACCTGTCTTCAAGATAAGGTGAAGAGAGAGCAGCAGTACAGTACACTGTGGAAATTTATACCATAAAAAATGTATGCTGCTCTGTTTAGATGAGTTTATTTGCTGTTAATTGTATTTCTGTATTTTCATGAGAAGTGTTGAGTCTGAGATAACCAAAAACCAAAGCAGCAAAAAATCCCCCACAAACAAACAAACAAAACATAAATGGAGGTGTTTGGCTTAAGTTCTTAACCTATGGACATGTTTCAAAACAGGCCTATCTCCTGAAACACACAAAGAAATGGCATTATGACTTATATATGGCATCATGGAAGAGAAGCACTCAGATCTTCCTCACTGCCTTTCTTACTAATCATTCCTTCCTATGAGCAATATATCAGGCAACAAAGCTTTTTGTGAAGCTAATGCTTTCTGCCTGGTTGAAGCTAATGTCTTCAGAAGAAGCATTTCCTGTAAGCTAGTGTTATCTTCTCAAAGTGTGGATTTCCTGTGGTTTATTGTTCATGACAAGAAAGAGGAGCCAGCAGCAAGCTGAATTGTCCGTAACCTAAGTTTTTTTGAATGTGTATTTCCTGCACAGGTATACACCAGCTCCAAGCTGGAGGACAGCATTTAGTTTGATTAGTTATGTTTTAATAAGTTTAATTACTTAATTTCTTATACTGAATTATGAAAAGGAAGCCTTTTAATGAATTTAATCCTGCATTCTGTATTTAAATTATTTGATACATCCGTGTTTTAAATGAAGACCATCCTACCCTAGAATATGAAGTCAGCTGCAGCAGCACAATGAAGAATGCAGGGGCATCAGGGCGGAATTTAGATCCAGCTTGCTGGGGAGCGTGATAAATCTGATGTTTGTGTCAAAAATCTGCCCACAAGGAGGCACAGATATGTGCTAAAAAGTTCTTCATCCAGTCAGTGTTCATCCTTTGTGTGATTTCTGCTGTGTGCACAATTGATTCTGATCTTGTGAGTTAAAGTGCATAGTATAATTACTAGGAAGAACCATACTAGCTTGTTTTGCCCCGAGAGAGATGTTTTGTATTACAGTTGCTTGTGCTCTGTCTGGCTGAGTTTGAAATATTGAAAGCCAAAGACTCTTAAATTTTTCTATGGAAACAGGTCAGCAGCATCCTGCGGCTCACTCCTGCAGAACTGTCCCTGAAGCTGGCATGGATTCACCAGCCCCTTGAACCACACACGACACCAAGTGGAGTGAGGGAAGAGGAGGAGATCTTTGGGATGCAGAGGCTGGGAAAAATCTCTTTTAGACCTTATCAACAGCACAAGATAGAGCAACCCAAAGTCTGTTTTAACTTACTAAGTCCAAGGAGTCCCTTCCAGTAGCCAAAGATTTATTGTATTGGAAGGCCAGGGAGAACCTACCTGCCTCTCCAAAGTTGCAGTAGAGGAATCAGGTGTCTGTTCCATCCAGCCTTCATCTTCTTCTCTGTCATACTGAAATTCCACTACTTGTCACAGAATCGCAGAATAGTTGAGATTGGAAGGCAGCTCTGGTGATCACCAATGCCCTGCTCAAAGCAGGGTCAACTAAAGCAAGTTGCTAAGGACATTGTCCAGCTGGCTTTTGAATATCTTCAAAAATGGAGGCTCTACCACCTCTTTGTGAAACCTGTTCCAGTTTTTGACTACACTCACTGTAAATTAAAAAAAAAAAAGAAAGAAAAAGCTTTCATTGATAAGGTCCCTCTGAGCCTTGTATTCTCCAGGCTGAACAGTCCCAGCTATCACAATCTCTCCTCATATGAAAGATGCTTCAGTCCCTTAATCATCTTAGTGGCCCTTTGCTACTTGCTTCAGTAAGTCCATATCCTTATTGTACAGGGGAGCCCAGAACCGGACACAATACTCAATACATGGCCTGACCAGTGCTGAGTAGAGGGGAAGGATCACTTCCCTCTACCTGCTGGCAGCATCTGGCCTAATGTAACCTAGGATGCTGTTGGCCTTCTTTGCCACGAGGGCACATTGCTGGCTCATGTTCAACTTGGTGTCTGCCAGGAATCCCCAGGCCCTTTTCTGCAAAGCTGCCTTCCAGACAGTTAGCCCCCTCTGTGTACTGGTTCCTCACCATGTGCAGGAGTTTGCATTTACCTTTATTGAACTTCATAAGGTTCCTCTCTGGCCATTTCTCCAGCCTGTCTAGGTCTCTCTGAATGCTGGGATAACCAACTGGTGTATCAGTCACTCATTTCAGTCATGTATCATTTGAGAACTTACTGAGGGTGCACTCTGCCCCATTGTCAAGGTCATTAATGAAGATGTTACACACTACTGCATCCAGTATTGACCCCTGGTGCATGCTTGTGGTCACTGACCCGCAGCTGGACTTCATGCCACTGGTCTCAACCCTCTGGACCCAGCCAGTTTTCAATCCACCTCACTGTCCACTTATTCAGCTCCATACTTCATCAGCTTGTCTGTGAGGATGTTGCAGGAGACAGTGTCAAAAGCCTTACTAAAGTCAACATAAGTAACATCCACAGCTCTCCCCTCATCCATGGAGCAAGTCACCTCATCATAGAAGGCTATCAGGTAGGTCAGGCATGTTTTCCCCTTTGTAAATCCATGCTGACTACTCCCCAACCACCTTCTTGTCCATGTGTCTGGAAGTGGTTTCTAGGATTAGTTGCTCCATCAGCTTCCTAGGGGCTGATGTCAGGCTGACTGGCCTGTAGTTGCCTGGATCCTCCTTCTTGAAGACAGGAGTCACATTTGCTGTCTTCCAGTCTTCAGGGACCTCCCCTGATCACCATGACCTTTCAAAGGTTATTGAAAGTGGCCTCTCAATGACCTCAGCCAGCTCCCACGGCACTTATGGTGTGTCCCATCAGGGCCCATGGACTTGTGTATGTACATTTCATTTATGCTCCCTAACATGATCCTCCTCAAACAAGGATAAGTCTACCTTGCACTGGACTTTCGCATAGTTTTCATAAACCTGAGATTGCTGAACGCAAGTCACAGCAGCAAAGACTGAGACGAAGAAGGCACCGAGTCATGGAGTATATCACCCTTTTCTTTGTCTTTGTGACCAGCTCCACTGCATATTCAGCAGCAGGCCTGCATTTTTCCCTAGTTTTTGTCTTGCTGATGTACCTGTAGAAATCTTTCTTTTTGCCCTTCACATCCGTCATCAGATTCAAATACAGGCAGGCTTTGGCTTTCCTAACCGCATCCCTGCAAGTTAGGGGATTCCTCCTGGGTCACCCAACCCTGCTTCAACCTCTTGTACACTTCCTTTTTATGTTTGAGTTTAGTCAGGAGCTCCTTGCTCATCCGTGCAGGCCCACTGCCACCTTTGCTTTTTGTCCTACTCATTGGGATGGACCATTCTTGAGTTCAGAGGAGTTGAAAACCAAACAGCTGTTCTGAACCCCTCTTCTCTCCAGGACTGTCTGCCATGGGATTCTTGAAAGCAGATTGCTGAGCAGGCTGAAGTCTGCTCTCAAGGCCAGGGTTGTGAGTCTGCTTTTCATTTTTTACCTTTCTTTTCAGGATCCTGAACTCCACCATCTCATGGTTACTGCAGCCAAGCCTAACCCCAACCTTTACATCCTCGACAACTTCTTGTCCATGTCCTTAAAAATAAATGGAATAAGAAGAAAAAGAAGGGAAAGGAAATGAAGAAAAGGGATGGAAAATATTTTTATCTTTTGAAATTAAACATATATGTTCCTGGTAACCTATAAAGTGAAAATAATTATGCAAATGTTCATAGAAGTATGTTTCCAGATTTTGATTAGTTCTCAGAATTAACAAAATAAGTGATTTGTGAAGTCTTCTTCTGTTCTGAGGGCACTATAATTTTTCTTTTCCATCTGAAGCCAAGTCCCAACCTATCTGTAAAGCAGGCATGAGCAACTTTTTTCTACACAGACCAAAGAGCTGGGTGGAAAGACTGATATTGTTGGACAGACCAGAGGAATTTCTTGTAGGAAAAGAACTGGCAGTACAAACCTATGATTTTAGCAATAGATTCTCCAGATTCAACTTGTTCAATGTATTCTGTTGCTCAGTGAATGTGACATTACAATTAGCTCAGAGTTTGGTGTGACCATGGCAGGCACAAGTTTGGCACTATAACTCTGAAAGGGTAAAGCTTTGTGCTGTGGTAAAAGAATGCAAGTTTCCTGTGTGGGTTGCCACAAAACTTTTTTCTCATCTCTCAGCTGCCTTGTTTCAGTCTGGTGCTAATGATCACTTTGTCATCCTGCAGAGTCACATATGGAGACCAGAACAAATGCACCACCTGTTCAGCCTCCTTCTGTGGAATTAAGGTAAACCTCCCTCCCAATTTTCTTGTTCAAGTGCTCCAAGGACTTTTGTTTTTAAATCAGTATGTCATTGATACAGATCAAATGTATTGCTTTTATTGATGGTGCTTGCAGTGAAAGAGAGAAATGTGTTCTGCAAATTGTCCCACTAGAATTACCCATGTCTATCCATTTCCTACTAAGGAAATTTAATTCCTCACCTTTGTCATCTTGGTCAAGCCTAAGTTGCTTACTTATATTAGTTGATGTGGAGAATGCTAGACAACTTCACTTCCCTGTGAAAGCAAGATCCCCTGTCTAATGTTGACCTACATAGCATCTATCATAGCAGCAGTTTAATCACAAAAGGTAGAGCTCTTCATGAGCTATTGTCATTGCTTAAATGATTTTGTATTCCAGAAAGCTGATTTAGGACATCATTCCTTCTATGTATTACTGGTCTGCTAAGAATATGCTCTGTCATTAGAAATGATTCCAAACTGCTCGGAGGAAAGCTCTATTGACCTTCAGGGAAATTCAGATCCAGACCTGGACTTTGTAGCTAATTGGACTTCTAAATTCCAAGTAAAGCAAAGGGAAAAAAAGCAACACTTAAAAGCATGTGACTGGAATAAAAAGGAGCACATCTATCTGAATGTGAAACACAACACTTCTTCCATGATGATGAGAACACAAAGAACAGAGGAGAACAAGAACATCAAGAACAAAGGTAAAATCTGTTAATAATGGGAAAGGTGTATGCATTACTGAATAAAGAGTCTAAAAGGTTTCATGTCTGAATTAGAGATTTGCATTTGTATGCCAAAAATTTTTCATTTCTATCCTGCTGTTTGAAGTTGGGAAGGATGGGCAGTTCAAGGAAGGTTAAAGTTGGAGACTTGCAGCTCCAGTAGAGTAAGTAACGTGAGGTCTAATATTTTCTGTTGATGCTGTATCAAAACAGTCATTATATTTGGACTTCTCTTCAGACATAATCCTGAGTTGTGACTGATCAATAAGCCCCTACAGTGGGAGAAGGCTCAAAGGAGACGGGCAAGTGCAATGTGCTCATGGAGTATGCAGTGACTGAACATGGGTGTCAGAAACTTAAGGGAACCAGAGAGGTACCTTTTTTTAGATTAACAGTTGTATCAACTGGCTGTACCAGTTGAGTGGATCAGCTGGTTGTGTAAAATTTTGTCCATGAGTTAATCAAAAGAGTGTGAATGTCTTCCTGAGTTAGCCAGACCAGCATGGGGGGAGTGTATATGTGGCTCAGCCCAACACAGAGTACAAGCACTGAACAACGGACAAAAAGAGCTTTGAAGAGAGCAACAGGCTTGAGCTGCTTAAACCCACATATTCCTTCCCGGTGCCACCCAGCGTTGTGATGGTGGGCATATCATAGAGCCTGGCAATGAGAATCACATTTGTATTGTGATTCAGCTGTGTATTGAAATTGCTATATTCTGCTAAGCGTAATTTGCACTTGTGTTGTGCTTTCAACACATAGCTGTATCATTCTGCTAAATCAGAATCCCATGTAACATTACATATCTTCAAATAAGTAAATTTGGTATGAAACATTAAATCATCCATGTGTGGAATATTGCAAGGAACCTGGTCAGACAGTACTGGACTCTGACATGAGTGCAGGTTGAGGTAAACAGACACTGCAGTTTGATATAAGTTGTATTTTTAGAGCTGATGCCATTGAGAAAGCCTCACCTTTCTCATACTTATGTTCCTTTTCTTCTTGTTAGATTCTCCTGTTTCACATACTACCTGCTGGATTATTGCAGTGATTCTAGGGATCATCTTCGTGGCATTGCTGGGAACAACAGCGGGTTTTATTATCAAGGGTAAATAAATCTCCTCCATTGAAAAGATTTTATTTGAATTTAGAACTTTGTCAGGGAGCAAAACAGAGCTCTTGAAATCTGGTCAGGGGTCCAAGAAAAGTATGGAAGTAGCTTTTCTCTCTTAAAAAAGACTTGCTTCTTTTTTTCTGAGATTTTTAAATGTTAAGCTTGGTCTAGTTAGACCTGCTCGCAGCAGAAAGAAAGAGTAAGGGGTAGAGGGTATCAAAGATGCCTTTCAAAGGGTGACTGGGTAGACTTCAGTGTATAGCAAGCACACTGTGTTGGATGCTCAGCCACTCAGGAACATTTACATCCTGATGAATATAGCTCTAGGCTGGCGGACATAATCTGAAGGACCATTTCTTTTCTGTGGATTTGGAGGTCAGTGCTGTACAGCACAAGAATGAAACCTGAGGTGTTCAGTGGCCATCCATGGGCTAGTAGCATCAGCTGCTCTCCTGTTAGGAAGGAAAAGGAGGGTGCTTCAAACTGCAAGGCCTTCATGACTAGCAGCTGTTATAAAATTATTCCTGTTCCTGGGAAGTTTAAGCCTTTTGACCAGCTTGCTGTGGAATGCTATGAAGCTCAGGTTCAGGCAAGTATAGTAATGGGAAATGCTGTTCATACGAAGCAATGGTACTTCAGGATGTGCCCTAGCACAGCTAGCACTAGTGGTGGAGGCTTTATGGAAATGGGTGGCCTGCCACAAACCTGTCAGGTGCCAGGGCTTTGCCTGTCCCATTGGACAGATGGAAACATGGGACAAAGATGAAGTTTATATGGAGAAGATAGAACAAAGATGGGAGGGAAAAATGAAAAGGTAAAAATACTGGGAAGGAAAAGGAAGGTCCCAAGAGACCCCTACATGCATGACCTATTCCCAGTCTGGAAAATGGATGCCCTTTACAGACGCCTTCAGAGACTCTGATGCAGGTAACTACATTGTCGTTGCAAGTCTCAGAAGAGCTCCAAGGATGGCGTTACTGTAACTGTGGAGAATCATTTTCTGGAGAGGATGTATTTGTGAAATCTGCTTGTTATGAACTAGGCTATGACTATGAATGGGAAGAGAGATGTATGACTGTTTTGCAGGCTGTCTCTGTCCACATTGCCCTGAGCAGTGGGTAGGCTACAGAGGGAGCTGCTACTCCTTCTCCAAGGAGAAGAAGGACTGGCATTCCAGCCAGGAATCCTGCCTGAAGCAGGGAGCTCATCTCCTGGTGATCAGCGATACCAGCGAAATGGTGGGTGCCTTTGCAGTGGCAAGGCTTTCCCTTGGCACCTTTGCAAGAGTGACTCGCTTCTCTCTGCCTGCCTCTGCTGGGCTTGCCACGGGCTCAGCCCTCAGACCCCACAGTCAGGGGGCTGCCTGACACTCTGAAAATGCTGTCTCACAAAGCAGGTCCCTTTAGGATGGAAGGGCATGGGTATTCAAAAGGATATTGAGTAGAAGTTATCTGTTTACTATGTGAGTCTTGAAACACTAAAAGTTTTGTAAAACATCAGTCATGGTGGCAATTTCTGTATTAAAAAGAGCCTTAAATGGAACATTGTTTTTTGAGATCAAAAACTGGCCATGTTGAAATAAAATTTGTGGCTTATTACAGAACGTTGCCTTGTTTTCATTGGAAAATATAGTTTTTAAGTATGTTTAATTTAAGCATACCTCAAATAACTTCTGTGGAAAGTATTGTAAAGATAAACAATCATTAATGTCATCTTAAATAATGCAAGTTTTTCATTCCTAATCATGATTTAGGCACTGCTTTACAATACTTTGTGGCTCTGTTCTGATCATCCGATAAAGGACCTGTTCCTAGTTTACCGTTAAAGTAAAGAAGCTACCACTACTAGAGACCATTAGTTCCATGAAACACTTGTGTCAGAAATGTAAAAATACCAAGTAATTAACCACGCAGTGTGTTTCGTACCCAAAACTCCCTCTCTCACACAGTACCCCTTTCTTTCCCCCTCAGAACCCAGGACTTGACTGGGTTTCTCTTATCGGATTTCTGCTATCTCTCTGCCTCTCTGTCCCTCCTAGGACTTCTTCCAGGTGATGCGCACTGAATCCCACTGGATTGGTTTGAAGAATAGCACTGGTGGTGGCTGGGCCTGGGAAGACGGCTCAAAACTGGGTGGCAAAAAGTGAGTATGGTGTTTCCTCTGTATTTTTAGATAAAGGGCTTGAGATCCTTCCCATGCCCTTGACTCTTTTACATGAAATGTCCCATCTGTAGCCAATGGAAGTTGACCAATAGTGAACACAGCTGCTAAGGGATGTTCAGAGTGGCTGCAGGATCTAGCAGCTCCAGAACTAAGGGGTTCCTCCTGCCCAGCTGCTGGAGCCCAGTCTGGTGCACCCAGAGACCTGGGAGTTTCTATCCCAGGCTGATGGACACAGCTGCTACTTTCCCATTTGCAGGTTCAACTAGTAGTGAAGTTGAGCATGTATTCCAGAGACACAAACATACACAGAGACACATATGCAAGCAAAGGATTCTGACACAGCTGGCTACGCAGACTGCCACAGACAAGGCACTGCCTTCAGCAGCACCCACACGTAATGCTACCAGGACTCATATAAAGCACAACTATAGGCCGATAAGTCCCCTTCCTCCTCTCTGGCTGCTCGGCATTGAAGTTCACTAGCGAAGGCACACACACAGTGCTCTCTAGGTTCACAAGCGCACACACATACTCACAGATCCCCTGAGTACCAGCACAGCACCTCTCGATCTGATACCCCTGCCCAGTTCCCAACCCATCTTACCCACCCCACAGGTCCCCTACTCACCAGCAGGTCCAGCTCTGTGCTTGCTAGCAAGCAGACACACTCACACACTCATCTCACAGGCAACCCACACTTATGGGACTCCCTCCAAATACCAGCACGGACCCTCTGCCCACCTGATACCCCTGCCCAGACCCAGGGCCTCCTACTTGCCAGCTAGTGCATCTTGGATCTTGCTAGGGAATTGCACAAATACAGCCCACACACCCCAGGCTGGGGGAAGACCCAGGCACTCTCCGCCCAGCACCCGGCACCCAGCACATGGTCTGTGACTTGCAGTCCTACTCCAGCTGCCGGCGCTGAGCCCCTCGCCTGCCCCAGTGCCTGGCACCACCACCCGGGGTCCTGCACCCCCTCTGACTCCAGAGCCAGCACCACGCCCACTCAGAGGGTGCCCCTGGTTGCTGGCACCTCGTCCTTACAGCACTGACACACACAGGGCAGGGAGTAAGATTGCAGAGTGAGGCACTGAAGGAAGGGTTTAATGAGAAGTCAGGACAGACTGCAGTGATCAGATGCTGGGCTGGGTCAGAAAAGTGCTTACACCCATCAGCAACTGCTCATACATGGCCCATCCTCTCCTCTCTGTTAACCCCACTTCCCCTAAATGTTCCTCAACAAGTTTTTTACAGTCCCACAGGCCCCCCTCGAATATCCCAAATCCTCCTGTTCCTCTTCCCCTGCCCTCTTCTTACCAGTTACAAAGCTCAGGGTGTCCCTCTCCAAAGCTGTGCCTGGAGTTTCTTGATGGCCCATCAGTTAGTGGTGAAAGACTTTTGGTCTTTGCCATTGCCTCTGTTATTTCTTGTGCGCCAGGTTTGTGTCTCTGTGGATTTCCATTTAATTGTTTCCTCCTTATTATCCCTGTTTGCACTGAAACAGTTCTTGATTGGATTACCTTAATGAAGCAGAGACTTTCACCTTCTACATACCCATACAAGAGGTTTAAACTGGAATACTTGATACTTTCTGTCCCAAGGTCTCCAAATGCCTTAAGTGGAACAGCAAAAAGTCCCCTGTGGGACACAACTTTTCTCTCTTTAGGGATGGTAAATGGAGAGCTCAGAATGAGACTGACTAACTGAAAGTCTCATGGTGAGCTCCAGGCATAGCAAGCCCCACTGCCAGACCTCCCGTGTCCCAGGACGGGTCTTCTCTGACATGAGGTCATGAAGCCCAGCTGCAGCGAGTCTCCTACCTCCAAAGCTGTGAGGTGTTCTTCCCCCTGCCAAAGTGGGGATCCCTCTCTAATGTCCCCCTGCTTGTCTGCTCTGCCAGTGTCTCCCACAGAGTCCTGTCCAACAGCCCTGTGCAGAACTGCGCCGTTCTGCTGGAAGGTGCCATCCGTGCTTCCAGCTGCGAATTCACTGCCCCATGGATCTGTGAGAAAGCTCTTCAGTGACCTCTGTGGACCTTGGAAGTGTCCTTTGGAGAGCTGTGCTAAGGCTTGATCCCTGTGAAGGTGACTCAGGAAACTTCTCTCAGAGAGTGCCTGGCTGTGCTCCTTGCTGCTGTGACACCTGCTGTAGTGCAAGGAATGAATGCAGCGGCAGCCAAAGCCCTGGCATGAGCAGCTGCAACAGGAGGTCTGAGTGCTGTTTCTGGCTTCATTCAGGATCACACTGGTGATGTTCATATTCTTAGCCATCAGCTTGTAACAGACAGTCTTCAAAGTGGTGGAGAAGGGGAAAGAGAGATTTCTCTAAGTGTCTCTGAGTCATTTTCAGAGACACCTGAGCACTGACAATGGAATGGTGTCCTGGCATTGGAAATCCTAGGGAGAGATGGGATTGTCATCTGTTAGCTCGTGCAAGCTGTGGGTTAATTTCTCTCTCTTGTGAACATTGGTGGCATACACCAAGGCTGAAAGCTAGCATGAAGTTTGAAGTTGGCCTGCTTTTACAAGTGGTTGGATCAGATGATATCCAGAGGTCCCTTCTAACCTAAATTCTTCTGTGGTTTATGTTTGTACATGCAGAAAACTGGAGCATGGCTCTCAGTTTTACATTGCTATGTAATTAGCTGTGAAGAAGTAAACCTGTTACCCTGCTGAGATGAAAATAAACATGGGTTGCTTCTAACAGTTTCTTCAGGAGTAGTGACTGTTCCTGTTTTCCTCCCCAACATCATTGTTTAGTGCATTGAGCGACTGCTAAATGGGCAGAAAGGAAGCTGGTAGCAGGAACAGAGTCAGGAAGGCAGGGGGTGAAATATTTTCTTTGCAATAACACTGCAGCAGAGGATCTCCTGTTCCATAGGACAAGATACAGCTACAGCTATTAAACAGGCTCACTCCTACCTCAGATCCACCTGAGGGATTACAGACTGATAAACTGGCTTTCATCAGTAGCCAAGTAAGTGCAGTCCCTCATCTTCTAGCCCCTTTGTATTAAAGCCCACCTGTGAAGGTGCCCTCAGCCATGGTTCAAGCGTAGCACACCACGCCTTGACTGAATGGTCTGTTTGCCCCATACTGAGTTTCCTCCAGAGCAGCTCTCCTCCTAAAGAAGTCCCTCCATACCCCTCACCAGCACTTCTTCCCATGGGATGCAGTGGACAGATACACTTCCAATCTTTGCGACAAGTAGGCTACAGTCACCCCAAAGTCCTATGCTGTGCAACAACACCTTGACTACATGACAGGGCGACTGTGATGACCTTTTAGTGACACTCTGGTGGTAGTTCATGACAATATTTCTTAAAATACTGATGATTATGTTGTTAGGTTCATGCCCCTAAGCAGTCACAAAATAAGTTATTAGAATTATCTGAGAGAAGTGTGCTTGTTACAGTGAGACAGCTGTTCTTTACTGATAAAATTGAAGTTCTAATGTAACACCCAGGATGCTTGAGATGACAAAACAGTTGCTGTTGCTATGTTTACCTGAAGAACATTTCCAAAAATCTCATCTTTAGCACTCCTTTGATGTTAAAAAAATGTAAGGTTCATTTAAATTTATGCAAGAGTAGTAAATGATTCTTTTCCTGTATTCTTCACAAGTGTTTTAAAGAATATTCTCATCGTACTTTAGCTTGTATTGATACTGATTTTCTGTCTTATTCCTATTTATGCAAAAAACACTCCAGGCCTGGTTAGCTGGCTCACCATAGGCAGTCCACTCCTAACACCTCTATACTCCACAAACCCTACTGGCTTTGTCCCAGGTGGTATGTCCAAATACTATCCATATCAAGGGCAATCTCCTTTTCTGTGCATCTTTACTGTAACAGCTTTAATTTACTACTCTCTGCCCTGCATGCTTTCTCATTTTTGAATGCCAAGCTTGTACACCAGCTTGCAAGGTTATGGATTGCCAGTTGCCCATGCCAGTCTGCTGTTCTTGAAGTCTTCTGCTGATCTGCTCTGGAAACTCACTTGTTGCTCGCCTTTCCCTGACTATGGGATTGTGCTGTGGGGACAAATAGTGAGGAAGATATTGATGGGCCCTATGGAGGATTAACTGTTGAAATTGAGATTGTATCAGTGCTGCTGATTTTGTTGTCCTGTTGAGACATGAACTGTCAGTACTGCTGGTGGTAGTGCTGGAGCTTCTAGACTGGAATGCTGTCATATAATCACCAAAGACAGGAATGAAAACCAAAAAAATCCTCACATGCTCAAGTCCATTCCCTTGGGTTCAGCAAACCTCTATTGTCCTCTATGCATTTCCCAGTGCTATATGTGGTCATGGTTTTAAATTCCGTATCTCAGGCGCTTGAGGTATTTCAGATACTGGACTCAGGATTTACATAGACCTATATAGCCCATACGCCCATTAGCAGTGGCAATTGTTGCTCTGCAGCACTTCTGTGATGTTTTGACCAGGTGTCCTCTGAAATGTGCTAGCAGGAGACTTTAAGAATGCTATTCTAAGGCCACATCTATTCTAGAATGTGCCAAGACATGTTCTCTGCTGTCGAAACTGTCTGGGGCTCTGTAACCATATGCTAATATGGTTATATTGTAATATTGTAAATTCTAATTGTAATATGGTAAATAAACTCACTGTCCCTCAAAACAGGGTTTTGCCTAAATTACAAGCTGGATGGTTTGAGACCAGGTGTGAGGGAGCAGCAAAGGCCAGCTGCTCTGTAGTGAGTGCACGGCTTGCTGAGAGCTGAGAGCAGTAACATGGCTGGCAGAGGCGACGGTCCATGTCCATGCTCCTGCCACCTCTCCTCTCTTGTCAGTAATTGTAGGACAAGTTTCTGACTTATTGGAGGGAAGTTCCAGTTTTTCCCGCCAGGCCTGGTGGATGCTGCAGCTTAAGTGATACCTTGTCAGCTGCAGAAATTGGCCTTCTTTTGCTTCCTATTCAGAAAGCCAAATTAGTGTGGGAAATAGAGACACCAGCACTGTGACACGCAACATAGACATAAGGTAAGAGTACAAATACAGTTTGTCCCAGCACTGTTTGATTGACTAACATGGATGTAGCCTAAGAAACCCTGTCTCATTTTTCACACAGGGTTACCATCTGTTTGGACTGCTGTTCTGTGTTTCACAGGCAGGGTTGCCAGCTTCCTTTACCGGTCAAGCATTTGTAGTCAACACACAAAATTAACAAAATTAACATGTGCACGTTTAACCTGGGACTCTACCCTAATCCACACAGGTTTATTCTGAGATTATACCTTCGATGTGGTGAGCAGTCTGGATCTTGGTAGATCTTCTAGTATTAGTAGTGGTGATTTCCACTGAAAGCGTCATCAAGCAAATAAATCTTCCTCTCTGCTTGCACAGATCATCTTTCATCAAGGCATTTTTCCTGGAGATTGATATACATGACAAAATCACATATGGTGCAGAAAGATTTATTCCAATACTCCAGCCTCTTCCTGGAGGTATATAGAATATGGCTGTGGCTAAATCCTCTGTGGCTGAAAGTATTTCTCTTGCTGTTTTCATTATTCAGGTAGACCATTGTTGGAGGGAACTACCTTGACAGCTTTCAAATTCGAGAATTCAATGAAAAGACTTTACAGAAGCACAGTGTTGATTTCTTTATTACTCAGTGCAAATGGAAGTGATGGGGCACTTACAGTTTTGATATTGTGTCAGTCCATCCAGTGTATCTGATTTATACTTCTAAAAGCGTATGTTGTGATAGCATTTCTTTTTGGAGAAATCACTGGTCATTTTTACCGTTCAGGACACCATCTGGAGATTCAGCATCGCACAAGGAGTGGAGATGGTGAATACATGCACAGAAGAGCAAAGCATGGAGATTCTCAAATTTTGCAGAAAATTATTTACCTACAACTGGCTTTATCTTGCCATAGCTCTGAAACAAGTTTATAGCTGTGAAGTAAAAGAAATGGTAACTGGTGTGGTACACCTATGTGAGGAAGGACAGGGCATTGATTCTAGTAATTATTCTGTCTCTTCAGCTTACTCTTGAGATATATACATGTATGTTAAAAATTTCTATGAAAGGAATAAATAACACATTAATATTAAATGGGAAAACCAGATATTGCTAAAGACCAGGAAAAGATGCAAAGAATCCTACAGAACATGAACTTGCAAAAATAATTAATTGAGATGGAAATCATAACAGTGTATTGTTATGTCTTTCATAATTTAAAATAATAATTTAAAAAAGTAAAGGCACCAAATGTATACCAAAACATCTGGAAATCAACATTGTACTGTTAAACAGAGCTGTAAATAAAACAAGTGCTAATAGAGACTTATTCAAGCAAAATTAGCCTCTCAAAGCAATATACTATGTCTAGAACATCATATTTGGGTTGATATTTCCTAATATCAGTTCCAAATTACATTTTACACTGGTTAGAAAAATGGAATATTCTTCATTAGTCAATAGGAAGAAAGCAGTAATTTAATTATAATTCAACAAAACTTGCAAATTTCTGCTATTTTCACATTTTTCTACCACTCATTACCTCCTACCACTTAAGCTGATGTAAAATTTCAGGTCATATATTAAAAGCCAATGACTGGAAACAAAAAAACTTATTTCTGCAGATTCCTCAGTGCATCAAGAAAATAAATGATACATCTGAACCTCAGCGAATAACAAGATACGTCTTCCTAAGAAATTATATTTTAATTTACAGAATCACAGAATCATTTAGGTTGAGTAGGACCCTTGAGATCACCCAGTCCCACCACCCCCTGCTGAAGCAGGGTCAGCTACAGAAGGTTGCCCGGGACTGTGTCCTGTCTGGTTTTGAATCTCCCCACAGATAGAGACTCCACAAACCCTCTGGGCAACCTGTTCCAGTATTTGGCCACCCTCACAGTATTTTTTTTTCCTTCTGTTCAGATTGTAATTCAAGTTTTTTGATTTGTGCCCATTGCTTCTTGTCCTATCAGTGGTCACTAATGGGAAGAGTCTGGCTCCCTCTTCTTCATTCCCTCCCGTCAGGAATTTA